GTTTTGCTTATAATAATCGTAAAACTTGCTCTCGTGAAATATTTTGGCAGAAACTCCACTAATACCCCTCAAGAAGACTTAGAAGAATTCCTCCTGGAAACAAAAGTGATTATTTCCTTGAATGTAGCAGAAATTGTGAATTGTTGTTTCTTCCTGATAATCATTGTAAGATCCCCATCATTCGTCGGTTTCTCAACAGCTCTTAAAGATCTGTGTCGTCTGCCAAATTTTTGGACCCTGCTTTTATTTTTTCTAATCTATTTTTTGACTGGTGTCTCAACAATTATACATATAATACATAATACAATTATACCTATACAAGGTGCACACAAGGTTGATAGATTAGTCATTGTTCATGGTTCTTGAAATCTTGGATTTCTTTTCTTTGATGATATTAGTTGTATTTCTAAATCACACTAAGCTTCGTCATACGATATCAGGTCGGGCGTACAACTTGTTAAAGGGAGCTTTGATTTTGTTTTGTTTTCGTTTTTTCCTCATGTTGGTGGGTAACACAATTCATGTGATTTATGCAAAAGATACGGCCAATATAACCATGCTTTTGTTGTTGCCTTTTGTAAAAAAAATCACTGAGCTCCTCTGGGGAAAAATCTTCTTTGATGAAAAGTGTATCATTGGTAAGTTGAGGAGAAATAGAGACACAAACCAAATAACTTTTGTCATTTAAATCAATTGTCATTTACAACTTTTCTGTCTTTTACAGCTTTATGTAAAGATAGGTTTGTCATTATTGAGCTTCCACCGGTAGTTAATTTTATTGGACTTCAACTTTAGATTGTGTGGCGGAAGTAATTCAGAAATGCATTGGTTTTTACCTAGACTCTGTGATTAAGACAGCTTGCGCCACATTCCTAACCAATCAAGTGCAACTTTATTTGAAACCTTATCAGTAACAATGCCGCATGCAAGGTGCTCTGTATATTACAATGGAAAGTAAAGGTAACTGAGCCTCGACTCTAGATTGAACAGACACTATTGCATTAGACCTAAATCTTTCAAAGGGCTTCTATAGTTTTGTATAATTTTTCTTTTTTATTTTTCTACTGTAACACAGTCATGGTTTCATTCAAACCCTGACTGGTTCACAAAATAATCATCAAAGCATCTTAATTTACATTTTAACTACTTAAGCTTTGATTTTCCGCTTTTTATCATATTCTTACTTTGTTAGTTACTGTTATCAATTTAACTTAGAAGTAGCTGATAAAGAATTAGTCCATGCTTAGCGTGCGTATAGCGAGTTAAGGATGCACGCGGGAAGTTTGTTGAGCATGAAAAAAACGTGAGAAAGTGTGAATAAAGTGCTTCACTTTTTGTTGACTTTTTCATTTATGTGATTTGTTTTTTCTTCGTTATTCTCTATGTCTTTCTGTATTTGGTGGAGGGAAGGGGGGGGAGCACATTTTTCTACTCAGTCGACCTTGACTATAAAGTGGTCAGGCTAAAGTATGAGAAATTGTAACTTTTATTAGACCTCGAGATACACTATGGAAATGAGAACCTCTAATACTGAAATGGTAAATAATTTTATCGCCTCTCTTCCCCCAAACCTTTCAGAAAAAAATAAAAATTCCAGAAAGTTGCAGTTTATGGCTGAAAATGGCATCCGACAATTAGGTCTCCCTAGGATTGGGCATTTTGCAGACAAGTTAAGGCCAGAACCCATGCACTGTGAGATCAATGCCTGGCAGCATTATATTGATCTCCTATACTTAGAGGCAGTAAGAATAAAAAAATTTGATCCTTTTGTTTCTGTCCTGGCAGCACCTGTAGGGAATAGAGATGGAGATGTTGAGGAGGGACAACCCCAAAAGACTCTTTTGAGGGTTTCTGATATAGACAGTGTTGTGGAGCGTGCTAGAAAGCAGGAAATGTTGCAGAAATCAGAGGAGGACCTAAAACAATGCCTGCAAAAGACAGGTTTTCCTCATGTAAGGCATGCATCAGGTAGGGGGGGGGGACTGGGATACTTGGCTTCAAGAGTAAAAGAACATTTTAGTGATGAAACTAACAGGTATAACAAGTTACCAGATAGGCTTATTGGCAATCAAGCTATTGCATTGGCTCGATATTACTATCGTTTAGTTGGCACTTTAGAAAGTGAATATGAAACAGAGGCACAAACAATACAACGACTGGCTCTTAGCAAGATAGGTGAGTATCTGAGGAATGCTGGGGGCTTTTTAATAGAGTAGAGACCAATTCTGCTCAGGTTGCAGAACTGAAAGAAATGTAAACGTTTGAACGTGTCCTTTAGTAGCATGTCGTAATGATGTGGGATATTGATCAAATGCAGCCTTTAAGTGCTACTGTGGTTCTTTCTTTATTCACTCCGAGCTTTCGCCGTTCTACGGCGAAAGCTCGGAGTACTTTTGCAGTTCTACGGCCGTAGAACGGCAAAAGCTCGGAGTGAATAAAGAAAGAACCACAGTAGCACATAAAGGCTGCATTTGATGAAAGAAATGTGTAGTATGTATTTTAACCTGATGTCTTTGTTTTTTTCATCCAGCGTTAATGTCACAACATGGACAATTGGATATGCCATTCCCTATCATGCAAATTTGCTGTTTACAAGGTATAGGTTGGGCTATGGCATTGTCTCTTTGCAGGCTAAAGAGGCCAAACATTCTGGAGTGAAGGAAGATTTGACCTTAACCAAGCGGTCAAATGTAAGTACTGCCACTGGTAAATGGTGGCAAGTAATGTGAAGTAATTATGTTCGCTCATTTTACCTCCCATAACATCAACCAATGCCCTCTTCTTATACCTCACACTACCAATCACCTTCTCCACCACACTGTTACCAACCAAATGTTTGTAATTGTGGTAGAAATAAAGAAAACGATTTGCTCAGTTGTCAAGTTTGTTTGTCTGGTATTGACCTTGTGACTTGTGCAAGCAGCAGAGGTCTGACAGAATCAGTGTTGTGTGCACTAAAACCTGTTGTCTGTAAACAGTGCAATACTTGCTTTGCTGATAACCTATCATTGTCGTCTCATTTAAAGTTCTGCAATGCCACTGAGGTAAGAAGTGTAGCTATCAAGCCAACTTTGATGACAGTACCTAGTTTAAAGGAAGCTTTACGTAGTAGAGGATTAAGCACTGCAGGTACTAAGGAAATTCTAGTTAAGCGCCTTGAAGGTGCATTGGCTGGGGAGGGGTTGTTGAATTATTTTTTAATCAACAGTTTAAATCTCCCAAAATATTTGATTTGAAAGTTATTTTTCTTGGTCAAGTTGGTGCACAATAAGGCATACTTGTTATGAGAATGATAACTAGGTTCTTAACAAATTCTGTGTACCAGTAATGTGAGTAATATACCTACTTCATAAGAAAAATATATTTAAATTGGTGCAAAATTTTTTTAAATAAGCTATGTTTGTCAGAGGTTAAACCTGTCCAAATGCAAAAGTACTGTTGTCACTGATATCACTTGGTATGCACTGATATATTACATATAAAACTTTATAAACCCATTAATTTTTTTTACTGACTTGCATTTTAGAGGCTGGGTTTCTGCTCTAATGAATTTATGGAATTTTGTACTTAAGTGGTTTGACCACTTAAGAACAAGTCTCTGTAAGAATCAAACATCTTGGCAAATGAAAATTTTCAACCCCCCTTCAAATTTTGCATGCAGTTAGGCACTCACTCACTCATCAATGCTCTTTTTAAAGGGCGCAGCACTCTTGTTACCATGGTAACAACGGCTGCTTGTTCGAGGCCTGGGGCCTCATTTTCATACAAAAACGTCTCAAAAAAAGAGTGAAATGTTTATTTCTCTATCTCAACCTAAATACAACATAACAAATTGGCACTTCTACCATACATAGTAACATCATTCATCTTGACATTGACACAGTCAATTTTCCCTGGGAGTGAAGTTGAACACACTAACAGATGATTCATTTCGGTACAGTTCCGGTCATCTTTGTTGTCGGGTAAAACAGGGGAAACGTTTATCTGAATTTCTCCAAAAGTACACCGATTCTGGAACTGAGACTAACCACATAGCTGGCTATAATATTCTAGTTTTTAAAAATGTTTAAATCTCTGCGGGCCTGCCTCTACTTTCCATAGGAGCAATTCGCAAACGAAGCTCAAAAATCAGATATTGCATAATTTGGCTATGTTTACATCGAATGTTCTCGACAACAAATGTTTCAGAAAAATGAAACATGTAAAGTTTTGAAAGAATGTCATCTTATGAGCAATATCCCGAAGAGAAATCTCGCCTCTGGTTGTCATCTTTTAAAAAAAAGAAATGATCAACCTTTATGGAGGACTACTCGACGTAACTACAAACATATACCTCAAATCGTGTGCATATCATCCAGATTCCGAGTGCTGCTCCTTCTTTCATGGGAATTTGAGCGATCTGGAGTCCTCTGAGGATACACTGCTATACTTGTATGTCATTTGAAACATGTTAAGTCGGCTGATCTACATGAAACTATTCTCACACCGGTCATTTGTCATAAACATGTACGTTATCACGTTGGCGTGACACTGTCGTTTCTCCGTGAAGTTTCTATCGGTCGCTCCAAAAACTGATATTTGTATATATGTCAGCAGATTTCCTCGCACTCTGAACTAAAAACAACCGAAAAAAAAAGAGGAAAACCACGATTGAACGCTCGTAAACACTGAGAATCTGAGAGTATCAATCGTAACCTGTCAGCGGCAGTACTAGATCTGGATGATATGCACACGATTTTTTCTTAAAAAGATGACAATCAGAGGCGAGATTTCTCTTCGGGATATTGCTCATGAGATGACATTCTTTCAAAGCTTTACATGTTTCATTTTTCTGAAACATTTGTTGTCGAGAACATTCGATGTAAACATAGCCAAATTATGCAATAAGATAGAATTCCGTGAGCTATATTATTGCAGTCGCTACGCGCTAGACAAAATCTGTGAAATTTACACTTTCAATCGGGGACGTAGGACGCATGGACGTGGGACTCGGGACGCGCGGGGACTCGGGGACGTGATCAACAAACAAGACCTGAATTTGTAAAGTATAATTCTCGGTGGTCTCGACTGAAGGTGTAATATGCTGGAGAGCTTGTCGGGTGACGCTACATCGAACGTGTTGTAAAAGGTAAGAGGACACGGTAATTTTGGTTAGCGGGGAAATTATGAAACCTGCAAATATTACGAAAGCCCGTGAAAGGATGACATCTAAAAACTGAAGGCAAACTTTGAATAAGACACTAGTATGCGTAATGATGGCGGCGACTAACCAATCTTCTTTAAAGAAATCGGAGATTGACTTCCTTGAGGAAAACCTTGAAAATTGTTCTGTTGAAAACCGGTACTTCGTAGGTTATTTCGATGGAAAAAGAGACAAGTTCGAGGTTATGCTCGAGTTTTCTTCTTAGTAGTTCCACATGCTTTGTAAAGAAGGCCTTACACGCAAAGGACTTAAATCACAAGCGGTTTTCGAAAAATAGTGGGCAGTTTCTTTTATTTTTAACTGAATTTTTGCTTTTATCAATTCGGTGTGGGCCTCGTAGAGACTCGATCTTTTGAAGGCAATTTTGTAAAAACTTACGCAAAAAGTGTTGAAATATTTAAAAGTATATCATATAAAGAAAAGCACTTGGAAAATAATCTAAGTGCGTAATCTAGTATACCGAAATACTTTTTCAAATTATGCATTTGCAGCGTCTCCCGTTTTTGAACACAACGGTGGTAATGTACCGATCCAATTTTTCGGCAAACCGTTTACCATCTAAGCAATGAAACTCGGCATTGCCTCCACACACTAACAAAGGTGAGAATTCCATTTGAAAACAGAGTTTGAAATATAATAAAACGTACCAATAGCATTCGATTTTTGGATAACCCGCGAAACTGTTTTTACTTTTTAAGAGACGAAGTTACCGTCTAAAATTCAAACGATACTGTTAGGCTTATTGGCGCATTGATAACCAAGTAAAAAGCACAAACATGCTGAAAAAATTCTTATCTGTTTTTGTATATCTTTATCTGTGAGCCACATGTGACTAAACGAAAACAGAGAAGTATAGATTGATGGCTTGTTTTCATGAATCTAGGATTTCGGGAATCGCTATAATCTACATGATCACGCATTTAGTAATATTTCTTCTTCTAATGATTGATACTGGAAGAAATACATACATACTGATACAGCGAAGTAACGTTGTCATGCTATTTTATGTGCCAGTTATAAAATATTTGTATTCGCATTTAGCCCACTGGTAAAAATCCCGTGAAAATTGTTCAAAAGGAATATGTCACAGTAGTTATTTTATGACAACCACAAAATACTCAAAACAAAATCAAGAAACTGCCGCAGTTTCGCAGAAAATTATACTCTACAAATTCAGCGCAAATGTCAGGTGTTGTTTGTTTATCACGTCCCCTAGTCTTCGCGCGTCCCCGAGTCCCACGTCCCTGAGTCCTCGCGTCCCACGTCCCCGAGTCTCACGTCCCCGAGTCTCACGTCCCCGAGTCCCACGTCCCCAAGTCCCACGTCCTAATCCCACATCCCAGTCCCACTTTTAGTCACAGTCAGAGTGTACAGTATACGTGTTGTTTTGTAAATAACACTGTAACGTATTTCAACTTGTTTGTGTGTTCTTTTAAGAAACGCGATATGTCTGTAATGTAATGACTAGAGTGCCAAACTTTTTTTTTTAATTTTGATCTTCTCCACGCAGTGCGTAATTCGTGACCTGATATTTCAACGAAAATTATCGAGAAGGCGTCTTCCGATCACCTTTGTTTACTTTGTAAGTCACGCAAGCACGCAAGCCTTTCGACCGATCACGTTTACGCAACGTTTTAGGACAACTCGGCATCTATTCTCCATTCAGTTGTTATGAAAACCTGAAATCATAAACGTAAAGGATAAACAAACGAAGTTTGAACGGTCAAAAGGAGATATTGGTCGAGTTTCAGAATTATGTAAATCATCATTGACAAGAGCGCATTTGAGCAAGCACATGGATTTGCATTGTTTTTAAGATGTTGGTGGATGAAAGCTAAGATATAGCCGCAGGTTTGAGGCAATCGGTGACCTCATTGGTGTATTAACTATACACTGATATGCTTTTTTAGCCTGATTAACTCCTGAATTTTGATAATTCTTTCGTACAAATTGGTGAATTTTGACATGCAAATTAAGGTCAAAGAGAAGGCTCTCCTCTGATCACGCTTGTATGAAAAATGTTCACCTGAAGTTTCCATATTTTGTCTGTGAACTAACTGAAGGCACCTTGTAACTTGTAATAAGATAGAATTCCGTGAGCTATATAATTGCAGTCGCTACGCGCTAGACAAAATCTGTGAAATTTACACTTTCGATCGCTGTCCACGGGTGTCTACAAAACGAAGACCGAAGACCGAAGACCGAAGACCGAAAAACGATGACCCTAATTTTTTTGCCCGAATAAGGCACGGACAGTTCAAAAACCAAGCCAAAGCGTTCCTCAGCGCAAACAGATGTGAAAATAACGGGGATCTTCGTTTTATAGAAAAGACCCCCTGAATCTAAAAAAGGAAGACCCTCACTAAAACGCTTTGTCAGACCCCAATTGACGCGAAATCAAGGGGGTCTTCGTTTTGTAGAAAAGACCCCCTGAATCTATAAAACGAAGACCCTCACTAAAACGCTTTGTCAGACCCTGGGGAAGGGGGGGGGGGACTCCTATACATTGCCTATAGGGGTATGTGCTGCCCGACGGGGTCATGATTTCGGAGCTCCTGATTTAGAACGAGCTATCCAATTTTATGACGGAGCTTCGGTTTCCGATCCTGTCGCCCACTGACATAAACCATATGCGAAACCTGTCACTGAGTCAGCTATGGTGCTAGCTTTTATATCCGAATTCCTCGAAAATGAAGCTATCGGAGATGTAAAACGGTTTTCCTTGATTTATTTGAGATCGTGCATGGCTTGAGAAAGCTTCAGATCGGCTCACGCGCTTGCACTTAAAGTTTACTTTCAAATATGCTTTTACTTCATTATGTAAACAATATTAATTAAATTTTAGAGTTCACGATTACATTGTTACCATCTAAGCAATGAAATGATGCTTTTGATACAATTGTTGGTCCGAAAAGACATATAGTACAGTAATTTACGCTTCCTTGAGATACGATTTTCCGCACGGAATGATCTCTGCAA